AGAGAGAGAGAGAGAGAGAGAGAGAGAGAGAGAGAGAGAGAGAGAGAGAGAGAGAGGGAGAGAGAGAGAGAGAGAGGGAGGGGTACTTGGCAGAACACATGAACAGAAGAGCGGACAGCTTGTGAGGCACACTGAAATCTTCCTTTTTTCTGTTTTCCTTGCTCGTTCTTTGTTTTTGGCTCTTTTCGCGGCTTGTATTTCTTATCGTATTTGAGCTCGTATTTGAAGGATACCCAGGCTTGGCAAAACTCGGTGCGCAGTGAAATTCAGGTTCGGCAAAAACAGGATTGGAGCCCGGGGCGATTTAAACTAAGCTATATTAGTCTCTCAATTTCACCTTTCACTAGCTACCTACCAATTCTCCTGGGCCTATACAGGGGACCCCTGCAAGGCTGGAAGCATACCTACCTCTCACAATTAAGGGGATGATGCCTGTTGCCCCTCCCATTAATCAGCGGTGGTCAGGGAGTAGGGTGGGGCTGCAGGTGGGGAGTGGTGGCTGACACAAAGGCCGAGCATTTTCCCAGTATCTCCTCCTCTCATCCACTTCCCCCGCCCCCATCGAGCAACAACACTGTCTATGGCCAACACTCTTTTATTTATTGGTGGGAGCTGCACCTGCCCGGAAATGGGTGCAGCGTCCCTTCCATAACTATACCGTAGACCAACAAAGAGCTTGTGTGAAACTTTGTTTGTTTGTTTGTTTGTTTGTTTGATTGATTGATTAATTAGATAAAGGGGTCGCCAGTGCGCAAGGGCCAAGGCTAATGTTACCCTCTTAATTTGCGAAATACAAAGAATCTAAGAAAGATTACACACGCCTCTTCCTCGGCCACCGCTCCAAACAACAGACCTTTCGTATTACATCAAACAAGACATCAGCAGGAGGCAGTGAGGCACTGATTGCTTCCTCCCAAGGGATAACTTCTTGCACACCATACGACCATCGGGCATCCCCTGTGTTTTTTTGGGGAGGGTTAAATTATCCTGGAAAGAGGGGACACCGCGGGGGGTGACAGCTCCAAATTTCGGACATGGAGATTCTGACGTAATTGACGCTGGAAAGCCATGCAAGGGATTGCATCCCACCCCAGCAGCTGGTGGAAAGAGACAAAATCATCAGTCACGGTGGCATCTACCTCAATCTCCATGCGTGAAGTGGTGCGGGAAGGGGAAGGAAAGATGTGCCTGAGAGACCTGGAGACCTAAAGACAGCAGGAGCTACGACATGACAGGGGCACGGGGGGTGAGTGGAGTAGGTGGTACTGTACAGCTTTGCTGCCGAACACCCTGAAAGCCATAATGCAAGACAACAGTGAGCACGGCATCATGATGACAGGGCCCCGGGAAGCGAGTGGAGGTGGCAAAGCCCGAAGTGCACAGCTTTGCCTCCTACCTACCCCCCTGAAGGCCATATCATGACATCCTACCGTGCTCTATGATTCATGTCAAGGGACGGTGGACCCAGTTTCCAGCAGGTGCAGCTCCCCACCAATGGAATAGAGCCATCTACCCACACACACCCCCCCACACACACTCCCCGTTGCCATTATTAGTAGGAAAAAAAAAAAATCCTCCACTTTGCCACCGGCTCCACAGCCTCCACATGCTCAAGGCACGAGTACAAGATGGGCGCAAGCACAACTTGGCATACCTTTTGTGTGATGGCCCTGCAAGTTTGATGTCCTTTTTTTTTCCTGTTATATTAAACTAATCAGGACAGATACTACACTCGATCTTAGCCAACAGGCCCAGAAATTTCCATCCTCTCCCCTGTAAAATGAAATAACAACAGAGCACAAACAGAAAGGTCTGACCGTCGTCTTTTTTCCTCTTCCTTCTGACACCGAGCACGAGTATCCGAGTACCTCCCTGCTCACAAACAGAGAGGTCACTTCGTTTCTGTGGAACCAAAGGTGACCAAAAGCTGGCTTCTCTGCTGTCGACCCTGCTTACGAGCTTCACAACAGTGACCTGGGCGATGCTGTGATAAGCCAAGCTCCGTACCTCACGGCTTCATGTACCCTTCGGAGTAAAACCCGAAGAAAGCCCCGGCATCCGGATCTTGACTAATTACAGTAAACAGGGTCCGTTTTAAAAATTTTGTGGGCAAATTGCATGCATCTTTTGAGATTGCCCCCGACCTTGTTTAAAGGAGTCTCGAGCGGGTGATTAGCCACTGTGCAGGAATTTCAAAGAAATGGTTATAAGTTTCGGTTGATGGCATTTTTCAGTTTTTCTTTGCATCAGCGCGCGTGCGGCCACTTTTGATCATTCTTGCGTGCCACACAAGCTCGCTCCCCTCTTTGCACGCGCATGCCAACTTACTTTCTTTCTGTCCTTCGTCTCCGTGCACCTCCTAGTCTTCCTCCAGACCCTCCATCCAATCCCTTCCTTGGTTCTTTGGCGCAGTTGATCGGTCGTCACTTGGGTTGGTAGGATCAAGCAGGAAGAGCAAATTTGCGTAGGATCAAGCAGGAAGCGAGCAAACTTGCACGCGGCCTTTCAGAAAGAGGAAAGGAAAAGAACTGGCCCAACTCAGTTGGTACACCCCTGAACTGTTGAAAATTTGTCCTTCGGGACATTCGTTAAGATTGGAACGATACAGAGAAGATTAGCATGGCGGCCATGGCCCCTGCGCACTCAAGGATGACAGACATAAATAGACAAATGGTCCAAATAAAATAAAATAAATAAATAAATAAATAATAATTAAAAAAAAAACATACAGACCTGAGTCGGAACTCCACTAGAAGCAGATGAATGAAATATTACAATTCCGAATTACCTTCCGGCTGGTCAGTTGGATTCCATCAATTTCGATGATTGTATCTCAAGGCGTCGGCAGTCGCTTACGAAAACGGAAAGACGAAAATGCATCTGGACAAATTAGAGTCCACATGCGTTCAAAATGTTGGCGGATGGCGAGTAGTGCAACTAGGTCCTAAGGTCGCATCAGAGCGCAGAAAGGACAAACGACTTGGCGATTCTCCGCCAAAGCGCAGGTTGAGAAGGAATTTGCTGACAATGAACCTCGCAGCAGAACACACGGCATGTAGAGGTTCTATCATGCAGACGGACTCGAGACTCGAACAGGATTTTCCCCTTTAGGGTACGGGAAGCCGCCGAGTACGGATCCTGGCTTATCACAGGTGTTGCTCCGCTCCCCACCAATTATAGATGAAGCCTTATCACCTCATAGTGGGTTCCTGTAACGAGTTGTCCAGGTGAAGGAAATAAAAGGGAAAAAAAGAACAGAAAGAGTGGGGTGGAGCGAGGCGCATTGAATTGTCATCATGTCATGGGTTGAATGCAACAAGAATTGGAGCTCAATGCTCATCCCTGCACTTTGCAGGGAGCGAGGCTGCCACGCTGTCCCGAGCAGGAGCTAGCACTGCCTAGCAGAGACCGAGGCTACGCACCTGTGGCTCATATTTACGGGATAATTGGTAGAAAGAGCCCACGCCAAAACCTGTCCAGTTTTGGGCGCCCGAAACTCGGCCGTTGGCCGTTTGGTAGTACCCGGCCAAACCGTCTTCAGCCTGGGTGAAGGGCGCCTTCACGCCGTGGCCACATCTCCCTGGGCCTGTTCTTACCGGTTCAAGAATTTGGCACTGTTTTTTGCGCCAGATTCATGAACCGGCAGGGCCCTTCTTTTTCAAAATCCCGTGCGTGGGCCTCATTCCATACTTCCGCCGAAGTTCCGCGGTACCACCGTCGGCCTCTTTGACATCAAAATGAATATGGCGCTGTTATGCGCCAGATTCATGATCCGGTAGGGCCCTTGGAGCGACGCGTGGGCCTGTAGTACCCCACATGGAAGTCGTTGGGCCGGTAGTACCAAGCGGCCGAGTTTTGGGCGCCCAAAACCGAAAAGGTTTTGGCGTGGGCACTTTCTACCGATTATCCCCATATTTACAGCCTGGAAAGGCCCAACCGCAAGGCATCTATCGTATTAAACTGTGCTAGAGTCCAATGTCCATGGTTCAGGAACAGGGTGGAAATAGCACTCACTACCGCACTTCACCCCAAAATGAGTAGGGTGCCTGAAGTGCAATTGCAAACTGTATCGTGCCCCACTGCCCCATAGTGCAATTATAACTCGGTTTTTGCGACTCTACTGAAGATTCCCCTGGGTGCTCCAGAGTAGATCCGAGTAGAACAGATCAATGATTACAACCTCATAATGGGCGCTCCGGAGTAGAACAGAACAGTGACTATAGTAGCCTCATCACTGATCTGCACTGTTGTATTCAACGGCCACTGGACCCGGTTTCCAGCAGGGGTCGCTCCCCACCAATCGCTCTTGCAACAATCAAGCAGGAGGTTGGTGACGATTAGCTTCCCTAGGAGTGAAGAGGTTTATCATATCTGCATTCGAGACAGTATATTTCATAAGCTAAACCAGGCTAACCAGCTGATGCTGCCGGGATGACTCCGGGTTGAATTGTGAGGTCCCCGGCCTCAGTTCATTTGTCATGTTGATAATGGAACAGACGGTTTTGATTAATAATAATAATTAAAAAAAAAAAAAAAGATTCCCCTTTCATGTTTTTTTGTCCCCAATCATAACTCGTTTTTTGCGACTCTACTGAAGATTCCCCTTTCATGTTTTTTGTCCCCAATAGGGGCAATCCCCAATCAGAGGGTAACAAATAAACGTACCGGAATGGATGTCAGCGCACTATCTGCATAGTGCAAAGCATATTCACAATTTCTGACCACCCCATTCCTCCTGAAAGGCAAGGCTGAAACTACTGTCGGCTTGTAGAATAAAGATCTCTGTTTGAAAAAAAAAAAAAAAAAAAAAAAAAAAAAAAAAAAAAACCTACCTTCTTGACGCGAATAGGCCAAATTGAATCTGTGGCCTAAAACCTGTTGAATCTGTGGCCTAAAACCTGTGGACAACGTTCCTTCTATCTCGAATACTCACTTCCCGCACTTAACCCCAAAATGAGCACTCCAGGGGGTGGGCAGTGCCCAATCTGCGGCCTGAATCCTCCGCATAACACTCCTCCTGTCTCGAACGCATAAGAAACGTCAAACCATCTTTGCAGCCATAATCCGACGAGCCGGATTCGAACCAGCGACCTAAGGATTCCAGTTGCACACTACAGTCCTCCGCTCTACCAACTGAGCTATCGTCGGGCTTGTGAAGGTGGTTTCCCTCATTGCCCCTTGATATTTTTTGGAAGTGTGGCTAACTGCTTAGCAGTGCTTGCCTTTTGTGAACTCTGTGTGGCCTGTTGTAAACCAGCAGTACTTGGCCCAGCTATCGGCCGCGGGAAAAAAAAGAGTAGAAACGTTTCTAGTCAGATGAATTTGGGCGCTCCTGTAGTGGCCCGTACGTTTCCTACGGACGAAGAGAGAAAGTCGCTTAGGTCGAATTCACAGCGGCGGTCAGATGGAGAGGGGGGTGATATGAGATAGTGGTCCTGCTACACTTTGTCTTCTGCTTTGGGAGCACGCAGCACCCACCTCTTTTTT